ACAACAAAACAGCTAACTGTTTCGGTTGATAAATGAAACAATAACGCAATTTTTCACCTTTATGCAAAAACGAACGTTAAAATTGAATAATTATACGTAGTTAGATATATGGGGATGTATATCCCCATACAAAAAACAAAATTTCCCACACTTTTGGCCATAACTCGTGATAGCAATGAGCTAGACAACGTCAAATGGGCTTAAAAGTTGCGTAATAGTATTACCTTTGAAACAAAGTATTAACAAACTCTATCGGATAAAAATTTTAGCTAATACTTTTAAGAAAGTCGGAGTCATTTTTTGAAAAATGGGAAAAATGAAAAATTGCCTCTACTGCGAAATTTCTACAACTAACTAACCCTTTTTTTAATTTTTTTGTAGTCTTTCGTCACCCCTAATCCAAAAAAAAATACCCCGTCCCCGTTGCAAAATCTTTGTAAGACAGTGTTATTAGTGGGCCACAGCCCCATTCCGACAGTTGATTTGTGATGGTATGCAATCCTATTTTTTTTAAATGCTTTTGCGAAGTCGAGAGATATAATGGACATGTGTCCTTTTCCAGAGAGGGCTCTGCTAATTAGAGCATCTGTGTAAAGCATAGCAGATTTCCCTTTTTTAAATCCGAGTTGACGGCTATTCAGTAGCTTGTTAGTTGTAGCAAACCACCATAGCCGTTTTGAGATTATCTTGTCAAGGGTTTTGGATAAACATGGGTTAAGGGAGATAGGCCGATATGATTCCGTCATGGTTTTGTCTGCACCTTGTTTGTGGATAGGAATAATTGTGCTGATTTTGTACGATTGAGGAATATGAGATCTTAATATGTTGTTGAAAAAACAGATAATTCTCATTTTGAGTGATTCAGCGACATGTCGTATCATTTCGTAGTTTATTTTATCTTGTCCTGGGGTGTGACCCTTTAAGCTATTTAGTGCGGATGAGAACTCTAGGAAGTTTATATCCTGTTCCATGAACGCTGCAGTTCTGTGTGGGGGAGTTAAATAGTTAAGCGTATTTAGTTTTCGTTTTTCTTCAATGAAAGTATTGGAGAATTGAGAGTCTTCCGATCGAAGTGACCAATAGCTTGCAAAGGCTTCAGAAATATCTTCGGCGCTGGTGAGCAGATCGCTTTTACTGTTGTCCTTGATGGCGTGTATTTGTGTGGCTTTGTGAAGGCCACAGAGTTTTTTTAGGTTACTCCAAACTGCTTCCGATTTGGACTGAGGGGAGATTGTCGAAGACAATTTAAATAGGCTGTTGGCTTTACTCAATTTTAGTTCCCTTCTGAATTGTGCGTTCGTTTTTTTATAATGGATGAGATTGGCATTGGACATTTCTCTATTGAATGTTTTCCAGGCTTTAAATTTTTCCTTTTTCAGACTATCCAGTTTTTTGTTCCACCAAGGAAAATTGTGGTGTGTCTTAGGTGGTCTTGTATGTGGAATGCTCTTGTATGCACTTTGCAAAATAATTTTCTTGATATTACCTGCTTCCTGATTAATGTTAAGTGATATTGGTATTTTATTGTTTAGGTCTTCAGTTATCATCTCGAATTTTTCCCAGTCAGCTCTGCTGGTTACGAACCGTTGTACAAAGTTTTGATCTGCTCTCTGATTTTTCGGGAAAATTTCGATGGAGATTGGGAAGTGATCGCTTCCTTGGAGGGAGTCACTGATTTTGAAGTCGCAATATACTTTAAGTTCAGGTGAACAGAATGCCAAGTCAATATGTGTAAAGGTCCTGTGTGTAGAGAAATGCGTGGGTTGTCCGTTGTTAAGGATAATGAGGTTGTTGTCCAGAATGAATTTTCCTAATATTCTTCCTCTCACGTTAATTGTAGGGGATCCCCAGCTGGTATTCCAGCTGTTGAAGTCGCCTTTAATTAGGTTTGGGGAGTTTCCCGGTGGTAAAATTGAATGAAGATCCATTTGGTTAAATTTCTTGTTAGGAGGTATATAGGATGATATTATATTAAATTTTTTCACAGACTGAATTTCCAATGCAATGGAATCAACTGTGCTCTGGAGAGGGATGAATTTGTGTTGTATGGATTTGTGGATTAAAATGGCAGCGCCGCCGGGCTGTGCGAGGCTGTGTGGTGAATGTTGTAGTTAACTGGAATAGGGATTGGTTGGGTGTACGTTATGTGGGTTTCTTGGAGTGAAATGATTTTGGGAGTAAAGCGTTTAATCAGGACTTGCAGTTCGTTGTAATTGTTCAGGTATCCATTCATGTTCCATTGTAGAAGTTTCAGGGTCATTGTGATTGTTACTGTGTTGTTTTTGTTTCAATTGAGGCAAGGGATTTAAGCTTCGACCTGGTGATAATTGCGCTCTGATCATTTTTTAAAAGTCTTTTGGTTCTATTTGTTGTGTTGAGCGGAAGGATTTTTACCGGTTTTTTAGCAGTACGGGAAGTGCAGGGAGTTTCCGAGCTGGATGACATTGGTTCGTCTGGGTCTGGGTCGAGGTTCCTGGATGTTGGTGTGTCAAATTCGTTTGGGGCATAGCTAATTGTTTTCCTTGTTGTCGTTTGGCTTGAGTTGGCTAGATTGGATTTCGCTGCTGACGAGTAGAGAGATCCATCGTGGTGTCTTCGGTTGTATATTGACCAGGCTGTCCTATTGTCAACTTTTTTGTAGGGTCTTAATGGCCTGGACTTCCTTGTTCGACAAGAAGACAGGGCAGTCCTTGTTGCGGGCATGGTGGTCAGATGATGGGAGTTTCTTGAGGCAGCAATCTATGCAATTCGGCATGTTTTGGCAAATTTCTCCATTTTCGTAGTTAACGTGATGCCCACGTTGACCACAGTTGGCGCAAGTTGGTGTGTTGTTGCAGAACTTTGCGGTATGACCAAACCTAGAGCATTTGTTGCAACGCAAAGGGCGCGGTACAAATGTACGAACTTCAACTCTCTCATAACCAATATAGAGAAAGTCTGGCAGATTGGTTTGCTTGAATGAGATTTTGATAAGACCCGTTTCGTTTTGTGGAGTTTTTTGTAGAACCTGGTTGGGAATATATTTATATATTTTCTCGACTCTTTCGACTTTCTGAGACTTTAGGTTGTCCAAGATGACTGTTTCATCGATTCCTCGCAAATCGTTCGAATATATTATCCCAATACTCGAGTTAAGGCTTCGGTGTTCAGATATTTTAATGGGGATATCGACATATGGAATGTTGGAAGGCATACTGACGAGTTTCTTAAGTTTTTCGGCTTGTAATAGGTTTTTGGTCTTAATCAGTAGATTACCGTCTTTGGTTCTCTTACAACTTGTAACTTCACCTTGAATCGCATTGTCGATGGTCTTCTTGATAATGAACGGGCAGATTGCAGCCAGGGGCTGGGAATCTTTATCCGTTCTGGTTGCTACCAAAAATATACCGTCTGGAGGGTGTTTTCTCCAGATGTCTGGAGGGCCCAGCATTGTGGGGTCAACAAACTTTAAGGCCTCTTAAATGCTGCCAAAATTGTCCGTCGCTCAGTTGGAGTAGAGATAAGAAAATTTTGTTGTTTGCTTTGTGCTTGTGTTGTTGTTTTGAAGCTGCGCTACGTAGACGTCTCGCGGAAGAACACGACCGATCGGTTAGACTGTCGAGGGTGAACTGGTAATTTTTATATAAAAATTGATATTTAATAATTATTACTAATTTTTAATTATTAAAATTAATTTTTAGTTATTAAAAATCAATTTTTTTCATAAAAATATATAAAATAACTTTTATTTTGCAATTTTTTGCTTTTTTAATTATAACCGTTACAGTCCCTGCTTTGAAGAGAACAACGCTTGGCATCCTCTTAAACTTCAAACTTAAATTCTCATTTCATATTTCGAACATGGTAAATAAAGCAAGTGGAGTTCTTGTATAGTGGAAGAAATTTGATGATCCATACGTTACTAAGATTTTATATATATTGCTGGTCCGGCAAATTCTTGAGTATGGGGCTCTTGTTTGGAGTCATAAATACGGAGTGCACGTCGAAAAGAATCAATCCAAAAAAAAATTTTTGCTTTTTGTCTTACGCCGCCTAAGCTGGAATCCAAATCTATTCCAACCGTATTTTTTCAATAGATTGATCATTATTAATTTGCCCTCCCTTACACAGCACAGTACGATGTTTGCTACTGCATTAATTTATAACCTTGTACGTGGCGAAATTAAGAGTCCTTACTTGTTGGGTAGACCGCATCTTTGGATGACAAGTAGATTAACTAAAAATTATGTTCCTATCGTTGTAAAAGATTGTAAATCTAATAATAACTTGCATAGGCCTTTCAGAGTACTTTGTTTTGACTATAATAGACTTTTTATACCCTTGCAGAGTAAAAGGGTATTATAATTTTAGTCCGAAGTTTGTAACGCAGTGAAGAAGACACCGCAGACCCCATAAAGTAAATACATTCTAGTCTCTCAGTTTTAAAGCTATCTTGCTAAAACTTTCCCAAAAGTTGTGTAGTTATTGCTCGCAGTATATAAGTCGGAACGGGACGGATCGGGCGACTATATCAAAATAAATATTAACTCATGCTGGGTTTTTTGGAGAATGATTATTTATATTTCCCGTTTACAATAATTTGCCGCGTGTTAATTGTTTTGCTGAATTTTTTATTTTTATCCATTGAAAAAATATACGCTATAGTGCTGTTTAATTATTTGCTCTTTTCGCATAACAGCACTCTATTATTAGCCAAAAAATACCAGTATGGTATTTTCTATTACTGGGTTTATTTTGCTTTGTAACTATACGATCACAATAGTACACGTAAGTGAACACAAGACAAAATCATTATCCGAATTGCGGCTATGACGTCATCATAAACAAAAAGAAGAGGCAAAACATTCGTATTATAATATAAGGTAGCACAAGACGTAAATCACCGCCCCACTAATCTCATTATCTCATATCAAAACCTTGAATGCTTCAAAATTTGAAATATAACTTACACTACGCTCGTATTGATTGATTAAAAGTTTAAGGTATAACAACAGACTTACCTTTCACAATCTGCTAAAGCACTGGTATGGATATTGGTAAATTGCTCATATACTTTATTACGCTTTTTCATTTCCTCATCTACGCGCCTCATTTCCCTCAATGCTGTCGCCACCTACAATATTAAAACACAAAATTGATAAGAATTATATTTTTAGATCTATCAGAGTCAATTATTTATAAAAAGTAATTTTAACTCCTTACTAAAAAGTGGTTAAGGGGTAAAAGGGTCGAAGAAAGTACTTGCGGCTAAATCAGGATTCAATATCTCTCTATTTATCTGTTTGGGTGCGCGCATGAATATTGAGATACATACAACTTAATGAACTACAGTATTAGGATTATACAATTATTATACAATATACAATTTCTAGTGATAGTTACGTAGCCTGTACACCAAGGACTCAAAGGTAATATGCGACCAACGGGGTATACATCTAAGTGCAAGCTTAACTAGAGGCAAAACGCCCCCTTATAGGACCCGAGCCTTATTGTGGCATAGGCAGACCCACAATCTATCTGAGACCATCTGAGAAAGGAAGAGGTTCATATGAGGCAAGCTGCTGGGAGAGCACCAAAGACAAGCCAAAATCCTCATTGTCAATAATGACATAAAGAGGTTTAAAAAAACTTATACCACTAGGGAAAAATTCACTAAGAGTAATTATCGGTATCCTGTTCCTCGAGAACTAGTGAGATGTTCAAGGGGGGGGCTTAGCTGGGGCCACCAGGCGGGTCGCAGATTGCGGATAGCGAACGGCCTTATTCATAAGGTTAGTTGTGAATAAGCGCAAGCTAATAAGCAACCCCGGACAAACAGCGGGTACACCGAAGTCGGTGTACTGATAAGACGCTTGTTTGGCCGTCTTTAAAATGTAGCCTTACACACCCCTCTTCCCTCACAATTACCTACCAACTTCCCTTCCCACAATCTCAATCCGGTGCCGGACTAAGGTGTCATCCGACCCGTGCCGATAGTCAGCCTGGCTGGGGGCCCGGATTAACAAATAGCCCAGTCTTTCACGGAGGGTTCAGGCAAGTGGCGACCGCCTGTCCTAACCGCGCCTTACCCGGGTATGGCGGATCTCTGCCCGGGTGGACCATACCTTCTCCGCAACTCGTAGGATTCGATTATGAAGAAGCATACGAACACCAAACTACCGCAGGACATCCCTGCCTCGAGTGTCGCAAGACACTTCGAAAACCAAGTCCTCGACGGGGAGCGACCACAGGTGGGACCATCCCCACCCAGGAGCGCAGCCACCGCCAGGAGTGCGTCTCGGACGCAAGATGTGGGACATCCCCCACAATAGTCAACTGTTCCAGTCCGGGAACGTGCGCGACCAGCAGGACCATCCCGGCTGGCTCGCCCACCCCCCGCGGCTGGACAGAGGACCAGGCCTGCCAAAGGACAACCTGGAGGCCTAGACGACCTCAACAGGAGAGGCCTGCCGGGGTCCAAAACAAAATGGTACCTCAGATACCTCCAGCAGGGCATGTCACCTGACGAGGCACTGAGGAAGGCAAAGGAGCCACGACCAGCGGCCCCATGTAGTGCACCTGCAAGCAAGCGGGGTAACAGCACCCTCACCCCTCCAACGGACACCCCAAAAAGGTCGAAGTCAGAGGTCACTAATGAGGTTAAGCCTACTCTCTCCTGCCCAAAGCCTGAGGAGCCTTGCACCTCAAAGGCGGCGGCAGCAAGGAGACCTCCCCCTAAGGCATCTGCTGGAACACTCAGCGTACCGAAGGCAAGTGAAGGGAGTGCGAAGCAGCCACCGTCCATCTCCACAGCCCCTCTCACTGGCACACACACCTCCTATGCGGAGGCCGCCAAGAGAGTCAGAGTGGCGGTGTTACCTGAGGATTTCCCACAGGTACACTTGAGCCACGAAGAACTGTCCGAGTTGGAGGAGGCCATCATGGACGACGTAATCACGTCGGCATGGGACACGGCAGTCGCGTTTAGGGGCATCCACTTCAGGGTAGGATACCTCCTCATCGACTGCCTGGACCAGGACTCAGCGGACTGGCTGAGGGCCGTTGTGCCCTTGCTCAGAACGTGGAAGGGCGTGCCCCTAGAAACCAAGGTGGGAGAAGATTTCCCGCGGCATATAATGTCACGGTCTTCTGCCCCAGAAGCTCGGAAAGAGAAAATGAGGAACTCCTCACGATGCTTGGGCGACAGAACAGGCTGGACACAGATGCCTGGAGAGTGGTCTCCCGGAGGAACGATGGAGGCGGAGCACTCCTCGTCATCGGGATCGACCAGCTCACCCGAGACGAGATCGTAGCTAGAGGTCATCAGCTCAACTTTAGGTACGGCATCGTCTCGGTGAGTGGGCTGAGAAAGGCGGCAAAGATGGCCGCAACAGAAGGAGCGCCCTCTGGTCCCCCAGATGGCAAAGTGGAGGTCGACGAATCCCTCGACGAGCCACAGGAGCCTATGGGTACAGAGGAGGACCCTAGCGCCGTTACAGACGTGAGGAATGAGGATGAGAAGCATCCTACGCCCTCCGACAATAAGGACGAAATGGAGGACGACATCACTCTGACGGATGGCAGTGGAGGGGAACACCCGCCCCCTTCACCAAAGATGGAGCATCCGCTCCAATGATGGCTGCACACAGCAGCACGAGGCTAGCCCAGGTCAACCTACACCGAGCCAAGGCGGCATCAGCCGTCCTGCCCAGGTTGTTCACCAACCAAAATCTCGGGCTAGCTCTCATACAGGAGCCTTGGTGCAATCAGGGTATTAAAGGCCTGTACACCAAGGAATCAAAGGTAAGAAAAGATATCAATTATAATAACTTTTCAGAGTTCCTAAGCAGTGACTGTGTCGCGGTAACTGTGAGCGGCGCAGGAAGGATACCAGCGATCGCCATAGCATTGGCGTATTTTGCTGGGGATGCAGCATGCCCACCACCGGAAATCACCGGACTCGTGGAATGCTGCAGGAGGAAGAAGATGCCCCTAATCATCGGGTGTGACGCCAATGTACATCACGTGATATGGGGAAGCACCGATGTCAACAACAGAGGTGAGCAGCTAATAGAATTTATTGTAAATAGTAACCTAGAAATCGGTAATGTCGGGTACACACCGACATTCATTACTAGAGTAAGAGAAGAGGTCCTAGACATAACTCATATGAGCAGGTCTCTAGGACCACTTATTAAGAACTGGCATGAGTCGCCAGAGGAATCAATGTCGGATCACCGAATCATTAGATTTGAATTAGACTTCAACACCGCTAGGGACGCCCCCAAAAGGAATCCCAAGAAAACAAACTGGGATCGGTTCAAGTCCTCTCTTGAGCTCAATCTCTCTAACGAACCGTCAGGTATACCCAGACATTCTTTAGAATTGGATCAGGCAGTGGGTAACCTCTGCAAGAAGATAACCAATGCTGTTGAGGACAGTTGCCCTCTTGGCAGACGGAAAGCAGATAGATACGCTCCATGGTGGAATGACAACCTGGAACGGCTCAGAATCTCCACCCGCCGGCTCTTCAACAGAGCAAAAACGAGCGAGGATAACTGGAGACAATATAAACAAAGCCTGACGCTCTATAAAAAAGACATCGGGAAGGCCAAACGGAAGAACTACAGAGACTTCTGTGAGGCAATCAGCACTGCCCATGAAGGGGCAAGATTGCACAAGGCCATGGCCAAAGTTGCACCAGAAAGTAACCTAGCCCTGAGGAAATGTGATAATTCTTACACTTCCGACGACAGGGATAAACTAGCTTTACTCTTTAAAACACACTTCCCCGGGAGCTCACCCCTGGCGGAAGATACGGCCAACCAAATGGAGGCAACGTCCACTCCAAGACACCTCAGAACAAGCGCAGAGGACTGGGCAATTGCCAAGTCTCTAGTCTCTCCAGAGAGACTTAAATGGGCAATTGGGACCTTCCAACCATTTAAGTCACCTGGTCTGGATGGTATCTCTCCATCATTCCTGCAGCAGGGACTGGACTTACTCCTAACCCGCTTAAGGAGACTGATGCTAAGCAGCCTAGCAATTGGACACATCCCAAATGCGTGGCGTAGAGCTAGGGTGGTCTTCATCGCCAAAGCAGGGAAGAAAGACATCACCAACCCAAAGTCCTTCAGACCTATCAGCTTAACTTCGTTTTGCCTTAAAACGTTGGAAAAGCTGGTAGAATATCATATTAGGAGGACAGTTCTTAAGGACTGTCCGCTGCAACCCACTCAGCACGCATACAGGGCAGGTCGTTCAACTGACACTGCTCTGTACCAACTTTGTCACACCCTTGAAGGGGCAGTGGACAACAAAGAAGTTGCAATCTGTGCCTTTCTGGATATAGAGGGAGCCTTTGACAATGCGTCGCACGATGCCGTCTTAGCGGCCCTCGCCAGAAGGAATATAGACGCGACAACATGAAGGTGGATTGGAGCTTAGCAATAAAGGCACAAGTTCGGAAATTTTTTTTTAGAAACAATTAACTACAACTACAATTCTTTGTTCTTTGTGTTAAAATCTTATGAGTGTAACTGAGATAGAAGATTTGTTGGACAGATTTCAAAAGCTAAACACCGCGGAAAGTTCACAACAAAATAGTTCAAACATGGCATTGACCAGTGAACAATTAAAATCCATTATAGAAGGCGCAGTTGCGAGCGCACTCGCCGCGCAGGAAAAAAGCTTTGAACAAAAATTACAAGAAGTTCAGAAGCGATTAGGTGGTGTAAACATCGGCACACCCGAAGTTGAAACGTATAGGGATGATGAAATTATAATAGGTATCGCATGCTGCGAAACGTTAGATATTATGAAGTCCCTGCCGGACTTTGAGGGAAAGAATACGTTTCTTGGAGGAAAGCGGCGCATACCGCCTATAAAGTATTTGAGAAACATGATGGTAGTTCCAAACACTACCAAGCTTTAGGCATTCTCCGAAACAAAATAAAAGGCTCGGCCGATATGGTTCTTTCGTCGTTCCACACGCCTTTAAATTTTAAAGCTATTTTTAACAGGCTTGACTTTACATACGCGGACAAACGACCGATATATTTAATAGAACAGGAGATGTCAACACTCCGTCAAGGAAACATGACACTTCTGCAGTACTATGACGAAGTGGAGAAAAAACTGACTCTGCTTATAAACAAGACAATTATGTCCTACGACAACACCGTAGCTGCCTCACTGAACGAAAAATACAGAGCAGATGCGCTACGAGTATTTATTTCGGGCACAAGAAAATCGCTTAGCGACGTTCTTTTTTCGGCAAGACCAACCGATCTTTCTTCCGCTTTAGCATTAGCGCAAGAAGTAGACGCTAATCATGAGCGATACATCTTCGCAAGTAGTTTCGCACGTAGCACGGAGGAAAAACACCAAAGGGCTGAACAAACAAGTGCATCGACAGACGCTAAGTTTAACCCAAATGATAAAAATCCTCATTTTAATAAAATACCACCAAGACAGCCACCCAAACAGGAACCGACCCAACCAATGGACGTCGATCCTTCATTATCCTGTTTTAGACAACCAACCCAAAACCAACAAAGTGGACCGTTTTCAAGACAAATTCAAAGCACTTACCAAATTATTTAACCCAAAGGTAGCAATAATCAGGGACAGACGATTAAAAGGCCAACTAGTAGTAGCGCTAGATATACAGGACCGAAACACCAGAGGATAAATCATCTGGCTGTAGAAAACGACCCACCAAATGAAACCAATAATGAATACCCGGCAGTAGCCGAAGAGGAATGTGATAACATCGACGATGACCTAGTAGAATACGATAAAATAAATTTTTTAGGCATAACACCCTGCTCCCATTCATAGAAAGGGATATCGCAGGAAGAAAAATAAAACTTTTAATTGACACAGGGGCTTCCAAAAATTACATCAAACCTATTAAAGAATTAAATACCGTTGTTTTCGTAAATAAACCATTTTCTATAAAATCAATCCATGGTCATAACGCAATAAATAAAAAATGTATATTGCACATTTTTAATACAAATACAACATTTTTCTTGCTACCAAACTTAACAACGTTTGATGGGATTATTGGACTGGACCTACTAAAAAAACTGACGTCGTACTTGACCTAAAAGAAAAAAAGTTAATAACTAACAGCAGTTCGAAGGAAATTAAATTTTTGAAGTGTGCAAATGTAAATTTTACAAAAGTTGAGGATATAGTGGTACCACAGGAAATAATGGAAAAATTCCAGGAAATGTTAGGAAACCGTAAGGGTGTATTTGCAGAGCCAAACGAAGCGCTGTCGTACAATACTAACATTGTTGGTACTATCCGGACAGAGAATGAAGATCCGATATATTCAAAACTGTATCCATACCCAATGGGCGTGTCTGACTTTGTAAACACAGAAACACAAGTGATGTTACGAGACGTCATAATCCGACCATCTCGGTCTCCATATAACAACCCCGTTTGGGTTGTAGATAAAAAAAGGGACCGATGAACAGGGAAAAACAAAAAAAACGCCTAGTAATAGACTTCAGAAAGCTTAATTTGAAGACAATAGATGACAAATACCCTATCCCGAACGTAGTTTTTATCTTGGCAAATTTAGGAAAGGCAAAATACTTTACCACATTAGATTTAAAGTCTGGTTTTCACCAGAAAAAACGTAAAACGTAAAACAGATTCTGCAAGACTATTTTTTTCCCAAAATGACTCATATGGCAAATGAGGTGATCGCAAATTGTAAAATATGCCAGAAGGCAAAATACGATAGACACCCTCAGAAACAAATTCTCGGAGAAACACCCATTCCCTCATACACAGGCGAAATCCTACACATTGACATATTTTCGACAGACAAAAAATACTTTTTAGCTTGCATAAACAAATTTTCAAAATTTTCAATTGTTCAACCAATCGCTTCCAGAACCATTGCAGACGTGCAAACCGCGATTTTACAACTTATTAATTTATACCGGCGACCGAAAACAATATATTGCGATATTGAGACCTCTATAAAATCTGAAATAATTAGGTCTCTTTTAAGCAACCGGTTTAACATGCAAATCGTTAATGCACCGCCGCTTCACAGTACATCGAACGGACAAGTGGAAAGATTCCACAGTACACTAACAGAAATTGCACGGTGTTTAAAAATCGAAAGAGGTATTGAGACACGGTTGAATTAATACTACTCGCGTCTATAGAATACAATAGAATCATTCACTCTGTAACAAATAAACGACCCATCGACATAATTCACTCATCAACTATAAAGCTTAACGCAGAAATTAGAGATAAAGTCTCAAATGCACAGAACATCCAACTACAAAGATTAAATAAAACTAGACAAGACAGAAATTTTCAAGTAGGAGACAAAGTTCTCATAAAATCAAATAAGAGGTTGGGAAACAAACTTTCAAATTTGTACACCGAGGAAACCATTGAAGCAGACTTGGGGACCGCAGTCTTAATAAAAGGGAGGGTGGTCCATAAGGACAATTTGAGGTAATTATAATAAAGTTTATTTTTTCTGTTCTTTTATTTTCAACACCTCAGGATTTGGACGGTACTTCTTCTCGCCGTATCAATAACGGCCAAAATCACCGATTACACGACCTCAAACTACATACCAATCATAGACGGAGACGTGACCATTTGGAAAGAGTTCCAGTACCTAAAACATTCGACCAATTTAACAATGTATTCGGAGATAGTAAAGGACACGGAAGAAATGGAAGAACATTTCCCTCGGTCACATATGAGGCAGATATTAGACTCGGATTTACGGCACATTAGAACTCTCATAGATACAGTAAATGTTCACCATAGACACGCTAGAAGCATCAACTTATTAGGCACCGCATTAAAAATCGTAGCCGGTACTTCAGATTTCGATGACTTTGAGAAAATTAAATTCACGCAAAAAGAACTCATAGAATCAGAAAATAGGCAAATAAACATTAACACAAAGACCCAGGAACAAATAAATATCCTAACAAACACAGTAAACATTTTAGTAAAAAATACAAAAGTACAACAGATAAATACAGAAAATTTGTATGAAAAATTGCTATCAAGAAATAGAATAATTATTTCCGAACTCGAAGCCTTAATGTTGTCAGTTACACTTGCGAAAATTGGAATAATCAACCCCGCAATTTTATATTCAAATGATTTACAAAATTTAATCAATTAACATTCTACAAATGTTACTATTACTGAAGTTTTATTAAAAAATGTATACTTTATATTAAAATATCCTAAGCCGTACATAGTTTGTAAGAAGATAATCTTGCACCCAGTTGAAACAACGGCACTATTATTAATTTTGATGAAGATAATATTATATGTAGCTTACTGCGGTAACAAAATCATGCCGATTGGAAACTGCAGCACCGCCCTTACAACAACATTTTGCAGAGAAATGCCCTACACAACCTGCGCGCAGCCACTTCACTCAGAAGGTAACGCACACTGCTCGACTCGCACCACCTACCTTGAACTCCTAATAATCATCGATGATGGCGTCATCATCTCAATGACGGAACAGCTAAGATCAATGGAAAACTGGTAACCGGAACCTTCCTCGTTACATTCGACGACGAGGTAAAAATAAATAACACCATATACCAAAACTTGAAGAGCTACGTTAAAAAATCGCCAGCCCCCGCTGCATCAACAGTCCTTAACATTACGGACCATCAAGAAATACTAAGCTTACCATACTTACAAAAATTAAATATGAAAAACCTACGTTACATTGGCAGGGAGGAGTTAACACGGTCTCCCAGCAAAACGGAAGTTTCCAGGCTGATAATGCTTAACAGAATAAGTCTTCTCATTCGTGCAGTACCGCGCGTCTTACTGTAAATCCTAAAAAGGGCATTTTGTTAATTTATATACTTTATAGTATCCTAGGTGTCTCCTTCACGAGTTTGTTGTTTTGAGCGCCTTCAAAAGGAGACCAGACCGCCAGTACTAAATCGAGTACTTAAAAATTTTAGGACATTGTTTTAAGCGTTTTGGGGGTTCTTTAAAAAAAAAAAGGATATTTTCTTTGACATTTTTAGAGTGGCCCAACCACTAACTTAATTTAGGGAACTTAATATAGTTTATATCTGCCCATACTCTGGTTATGGTATGGTATGGTTTAACAAAGGGAGCTATCAGATTATAATAACAATTGTTAATAAAGTCTTACCTCTCGAGCGAATACTCCACGTAAACGACTTTGTATGACGATTGCACTGCGCCTCATTTTTATAAATCGAATTCTTAATTTCCAGCCTTTATACGCATGTTGTATTTTTAAAACTGCCAGTTTAATGCGTAAGAACGACTTAAAACAATGAAATCGTTTCCAGTTTTTTTGAATAGTTACAGCGTTTTTATATATTTTTTTCTTTTCGGTTGAATTCCAATAGGCGATGCACAGTACTTCGCAGGAATATTTTAGTTTTTCCTATTTGCCACTCCGTATTTGGCAAGTCATTTAAGTCCATTATATTGGATATATACTTATATGAATCCTCAACAGACTTTTCTGTCATCAGGCATTTATATTTTGTGATAAAATCTTCATGACTTAAGTGAATTGGAAACCCCTCTTTTCTTATCCGAATTATGTCCACAACGCCAAGATACTTTAACTGATCAAGAACTAATGATTTGTCATAGTTATTTGGTCGTTTTAGTAAATTCGGTTTTATACAGCGAACGTACCTGTAAAGATAAACATAAACAAAAATAGAAAGGGAGCAAAACCATTATATGACCTTTTAAGAAAGGACGAAAAGTTTCAGTTTGGAGAAAAGCAAATGATATGTTTTGAAAAACTTAAAAAAAAGCTGGTAGAGGCACCGGTGTTAGCCATTTACAATTACAAAGCCGAGGTAGAGTTGCTCTGCGATTCTAGTTCCCAAGGCTTTGGAGCCGTTCTTTTCGAAAAGAAAGAAGACGGAAAGCTGCACCCCATATTTTATTTTTTTCAAACGCACAACCGTTGCTGAATCGAAATACCACAGTTTCGATCTCGAAACAATGGCTATCATTCACGTACTTCGCAGGTTTAGAGTATATTTTTTTGGTCGACGCTTTAAAATTATTACCGACTGTAATTCTCTTACACTAACACTTAATAAGATTGAACTTAATCCACGCATTGCTAAATGGGCTTCAGAGTTCCAGAGTTATAACGACGAGTTGATACATAGGAAAGGGAAAAGAATGCAACACGTTGACGCTTTAAGCAGATGTAGAAATATTTTAGTGGTGGAAACCAACACATTTGAAGATAATCTAGTAATTTGCCAAGCCAAGGATCCAAAAATTCAAAGGGTAAAAAAGCAAGGAAAATGAGCATAAACTGTTTGAAATGAGAAATGGAAGAATTTATAAAAAAAACTATTGTTCATATGGCATCTATATGATATAGTCGTCCGATTTTGATGAAATTTTATTTGTTATTCGAGAGTCGTTAGAAAACTCTATATTCCAAAAATTATGATTTTCTGATGAGAAATAACGATGTTAACATTTTATTTCCGTTGATTCTACATAGATTTTTCGATCTTTCCTATGGCAGCTTTATGATATAGTTGTCCGATTTTTATGAAATTTTTTTTATAAATCAAGGCTAGTTAAAAAACTTGATACTCAAAAAATCATAGTCGTGTGATGAAAAACATCGACGTTATCAATTAATTTTCATTAATTCTATATATATTTTTCGATCTCTCCTATGGCAGCTATGATAGAGTTATCCGATTTTGATAAAAATTGAATGCGAAATTCGACAGTAATTATTAAACACCATCTGAAAGAAATCAAGTTTTTCAATCTCTCGTATGGGAGCTATCCGATGTAGTCGGTCGATCCGGCTCGTTCCACAGCAAGATAGCTTCAAAACTGAGAGACTAGTTTACATAGAAACAGACAGACGGACAGACGAACAGACGGACCGACGGACAGACGGATTTCGATTCAGATCGTGATGCTGATCAAGAATATATATACTTCATAGTAGGGTTGTTGATAATATATCAAAATATCAATATATCGATATTTTTTTGACAAAAATAAATACTTATATCATGATATTTTTTCACCTGATATATCAAATATCGCTGATTTTTTTTATATATTTTTGATATTTTCGAATTGGTCACTCAGATGTGATTCCCTGGAAGCCAATGAGATGAGCGCATCAAAAATGTATTTTTCTGTGGATTTGGATGTATTTCCGCGAAATTTTGTGTTTGTGCACGAATTCCTAGTAATAGATTTGATTTGCTCTCGAGTTTTTTCCGCTAATTTCGTGTTAGTGATTTCGTTTTTAATTTACAATAAATTACTTGTTATTGGAAAAAGGCAAAGTAAAATCAGGATAAAATATAAATTTATGTACATATTTAAAATAAAGCATTGAGCACATGTGCAGCGAAAATCGTTAAAAAAAAAATTTTTTTTTTAAATTTGGTTGATTAATAAAAATAAATATGTAAATCAAATAAATATCAAAAATACTTGATGTATCGATATTTTTGGGTGATACAAATTTTTATCAATTTGATAGATTTTTGAAAAACTATATATCACTGATACGATATTTTTACATATCATCACAACCCTACTATATAGGGTCTGAGGTGTCTCCTTCACTGCGTTGCAAACCTCTGACTGAAATTATAATACCCTTTGCTCTGCAAGGGTATAATAACGACGGTAGGCTGTTATTTTACGTACCTACAGATATGGAAAAACATGTACTCTATAAATACCACAATGAGATTGGTCATATAGGCAGAGCCAAAATGTTACAGGCTATTTCGAAAAGTTATTGGTTTCCTAATGCCAAAGATAAATGTTTAGGTCATATTGAAAACTGTCTCAAATGTTTAGCATTTCCCCCCAAGACCGGCAAAGAAGGACTTCTACATTGTATTCAAAAAGGTGACAAACCCTTTCAACTGATACATATCGATCAAAGCAGATCACAGAAACACATAATTGCTATTGTCGATGGTTTCACGAAATTTGTTCGGTTGTAGACAACTAAGACCACAAATTCAAAGGAAGCTATCGCAGCATTAAGAGATTATTTTAGGGGATATAGCAAACCAAAATGTATAATTTCAGATAGAGGAAGTTGCTTTACTTCTAGAGAGTTTGATGAGTTTTTATCAGAATTCAAAGTTAAGCACATAAAAATAGCAACAAGATCGCCACAGGCAAATGGCCAGGTCAAAAGAATCAACCGAAATCTTGGACCAATGATGGCAAAGCTAATTGAACCAGAAAAAGGCATATATTGGGATTTGGTAATAGACAAAGTAGAACATGTGTTAAACAACACACAGAACCGCAGCATTAAACGAACTCCGAGCAAAATGTTATTTGGTGAAGAACAAAGGGGACAATTGGTGGACGAACTAAAAGAAAAATTAGAAGAGTAAGACAACGCAGAAGAAAATAGGAATTTAAAAAAAATTAGAGAAGAAGCAAAAAAATGTCTAAAAAAAAGCACAAGCGCACAACAAAAAGCAATATGATAAAACAGCCAGAAAACCGTCTAAGTAAATAATAGGAGATTATGTAATGGTAAAAAATTTAATTTAAATAGCACGACAGGCGTTTTGAAGAAAACTGATTCCGAAGAATAAAGGTCCTTATGTAATTGCAAAAGTATTAAGAAATTACAGGTTCCTGTTAAAAGACGTTGAGGGATTTCAGGTATCATGCAATCCGTTCAAAGGGGTCTGGAGCATCTCGAAATCAAGCATTGGATAAGAAACAAAAATAAATAAATTGTATAAGAAATTAATTATTGTTAAATTGTTAAAAAGAAAATGTTAACATAAGAAAATAATACCTCTAATATAATATTAGGTTGTCAAAAAAGTCTTGCGGTATTTTTATTGAATTTTCAATTGTTCACAATAATGCGATTCAAGTCAAATACATATGCGCCGTTTTGTTCGATGACGCGTTCCCAACGAGATGCCAACTTCATAATGCCCCTCATAGAAGCTCGCTTCCCTATTGGCAAAAAAAATCGGAGAGCCAATTTTCACAGGACTCTCTTGTGGCCAACTTCAGACTACCAAGCGCGTTCGCCATGGACAGAAACAGGTGGTAGTCACTTGGTGCGAGATCCGGACTATACGGTGGATGCAAAAGAACCTCCCATCCGAGCTCCCGGAGCTTCTGGCGCGTCACTAAAGATGTGTGTGGCCTGGCGTTGTCTTGGTGGAAGACAATTCGGCCTCTGTCGATCAAAGATGGCCTCTTCTGCATGAGTGCTGTCTTCAAGCGGTCCAGTTGTTTGCAGTACAGGTCCGAATTGAGCGTTTGGCCATAGGGGAGCAGCTCATAGTGGATTATTCCCTGCCAATCCCCCCAAACACACAGAAGAACCTTCCTGGCCGTCAATCCAGGCTTGGCCACCGTCTGGCCGCTTCACCGCTTTTCGACCACGACCGTTCGCCAGTCACCATACTCTTCAAAAAAAAAAAAGAGATGTTTTTTCGCGTCAATTCGTGTGGCACCCATACATCGAGCTTCTTAGTGACTCCAAGCTTCTTCAAATGGTTAATAACGGTTTGATGACTCATGCCCAGCTCTTGACCGATGCTACGGCTGCTACTATGCCGGTCTCTTTTGACCAATTCAGCGATTTTATCTCATTTTTCGACGACAGGCCTTCCGGAGCGTGGCGCATCTTCGACCATCTCTTCACCAGAACGAAAACGTTGAAACCATCGTTGTGCGGTGGAAATGGAAACTGTATCGGGTCCATAAACTGCACAAATTTTATTGGCGGCTTGAGATTCATTTTTGCCTTTATCGTAGTAGTACTGTAAAATATGCTGTATTTTCTCTTTAATTTGCTCCATGATTGCGACGCTATAACTAACGAACGACTTAAAAGAAAATACAGTCAATCAAACACGTGTTAGCGCGTAATATGAGCTTTCCAAAAAGGTATAGTATGACCTGATGCGACGAATAAAACAAGAACTACGCGCTTTCAGCGCCAACTAGCGAAAATACCGCAAGACTTTTTTGACAACCTAATATAATATAAGATAATTAACTGTGACATCCATACTATCCATACTAATATATAAATGTGAAAATGTTTCTGTCTGTCTGTTACTCGATCACGCCTAAACGGCTGAACGGATTTTGATGAAATTTGGTATGGTGATTGGTGATAACCTAGAAATCATAATAGGCTATAAATAATCACGCCATCGATCTTAAGTGGTAAGCAGCAGGTGGAGAAACGGAATAATCACGCAATCGTTCTTATGGGGTAAGCAGTAGGCATTACGTTTTAAGTAAAAAAGTTTGCTTTATCAAAAATTGTTTTACGTTGTAGTTTTTAAAACTCCCGTTATTGTTTTCGATATGCCAGGCAAACGTAAAACAAATCTAAGCAGTATTTCTAGCAGAGCTCGAGCTGCAAAAGTTTCTAGAGGCCAAGAATCTAAAGAGCAGACTCGGACGCGTCAGATGTTAGATTCTCAGCGTCATGCGACTCAAAGAGCTTCTGAGACTTATACGCAGACTCGGGCCCGTCAGACCCTGGATGCTGAACGCCACGCATCTCAAAGAGCTGCTGAGACAGTGGAACAGACCCAGACACGTCGAGTTTTAGATGCCGAACGTCACGCGCAATTGTTTGCGGCAGAATCTGACGAGGATTCACAAAGACGACG